GTTAGGTATGGCTGAGTTAGGTATGGTTGAGTTAGGTATTACTGAGTTAGGTATGGCTGACTTAGGTATGGTTGAGTTAGGTATGGCTGAGTTAGGTATGGCTGAGTTAGGTATGGTTGAGTTAGGTATAGCTGAGTTAGGTATGGCTGAGTTAGGTATGGCTGAGTTAGGTATGGTTGAGTTAGGTATGGCTGACTTAGGTATGGTTGAGTGAGGTATGGCTGAGTTAGGTATAGCTGAGTTAGGTATGGTTGAGTTAGGTATGGCTGAGTTAGGTATGGTTGAGTTAGGTATTGTTGAGTGAGGTATAGCTGAGTTAGGTATGGTTGAGTTAGGTATGGTTGAGTTAGGTATGGTTGAGTGAGGTATAGCTGAGTTAGGTATGGTTGAGTTAGGTATGGCTGAGTTAGGTATGGCTGACTTAGGTATGGCTGAGTTAGGTATAGCTGAGTTAGGTATGGTTGAGTTAGGTATGGCTGACTTAGGTATGGTTGAGTGAGGTATGGCTGAGTTAGGTATGGCTGAGTTAGGTATGGCTGAGTTAGGTATGGTTGAGTTAAGTGTGGTTGAGTTAGGTATGGCTGAGTTAGGTATGGTTGAGTTAGGTATGGCTGAGTTAGGTATGGCTGAGTTAGGTATGGTTGAGTTAGGTATGGTTGAGTTAGGTATGGTTGAGTTAGGTATGGCTGAGTTAGGTATGGCTGAGTTAGGTATGGCTGAGTTAGGTATGGCTGAGTTAGGTATGGCTGAGTTAAGTGTGGTTGAGTTAGGTATGGTTGAGTTAGCTTATGTACCCAGGCTATGATGTGAACAGTTAGAGCCCCAAATTATCGCACAATACTCGACCATAGTTCCAGTAGCAGTCATTCCCAGGTGCAACAGACTATAATGTGCTTCACGATATGCTGTACCATAGCACTTAGCATTGTGCTAAACTGATATTCTATGCCAATCTCACTGTGTCTATATAACACATGTATTAATTAAATTATAGTCCCCTCTAACAAAATTTATCGCAATAGTCGGACTACTTTTCAGAAATATACAGCGCTTCTCTTTGGTAAGTTAATGCCAATAACGCGTGACAGATCCCATAGAGTCAATACAAGGTGCAGAGGATACTCTCCCTAGTGACATGGTCTGGGGCCCCCCCAGCAAGCGGGGATACCATGGAGGCAGGACACGAAGCACTTGTGCTTTGGTGCCGTGTTTCATAGTTGAGGTTCGCCTGCCAAACTTACCAGGAGGATCGCTTATAGGTAACATGCAGTTATATTAGTTACTCAGTATTCTGTGGAGATCATCCTAGAACAAGGCCCTTCTACCTACTATCAACCAGAACTCGATTAACAATTTTGCGACACTGTGAATCTCTCTCTCTTGTATTCAAAGACTATAGAAGTATTGTGTGCACTGTGTACAGACCGACTACCAACTTATCTCCAGCGATACACAAAAGATCAACAGCAATGGGAAACATGTGGTGAACGTCCTCAGAACTCTCTATGTACACCAGCAGAGCCTCGACCCCGTGGGATACTCTTCCGTCATGGAGAGAGTCGTTGGTTCTCTGGCAAAGTTGCCATAATAACAACCACACTTCAAGGTGTTGGCTGCTCGTACCATACCAAGGTAACGAGGCCCTTCAGCTATGCTAAGCTTCAGTGTGCTTCCAGACACTTCATCAGCTTTGACGGTTCCTTCATGTCCCAGCTATAATGCACATGATTCTCTGTGCAACTGTTTGTGTACAACTGAATCGTAAGTTCTTGAAATACATTCCAGTTTTTACTTGTGTTTTATTGGTCTAGCGCTTGTAGGACTTCAGGGTTCACTATGAACGGTTCCACTGTGATACAGTATTGTGGCAGTTTGATTCATGAGACTATTGGATTGTAACTACGTCCTTTGTGAGTGTATCTACGTCATTTGTGGGCGTAACTACGTCATTTGTGGGCGTAACTACGTCGTTTGTGAGTGTAACTATGTCCTGTGGGAGTGTAACCACGTCAGCCTACCAGCCACTTGTCCCCGTGGAATGTCAGCTTGAATTTATCTCGTTACACAACACTACTTATATTTGATTCCAAGTGTTTGCGCCATTTACAGGAATTTGCATTGATCATCGCAGTATTGGAGAAGCAAGATGGATGAGCTCAGAGTACTGGTGAGCATGATGACCAAACCACACATCAGAAGATGGAGAAACGACGACGTTTCGGTCCGTCCTGGACCGAGTCGTGTGATAATGGCTAAAATAATCGAACCACATTGATGTGTGGTTTGGTTATCATATCATTAGCCACATTGAATTGCATTCAGGGGTTTTAAAGATCATGTTCTGTGATAATGGATCACTTGTTCAATGAGAATTATAATGTAGTATTGCCTTGTAAAACTTATGTATATATGATTTATATTGTATTTTCTTAAATAAAGATAAAAAAAAAACATTATTGTGACTCATCGTCTGCCTACTGGTGTATAATGAAGAGTTAGACATAATTGCACTCACTGAAACACCATTGAATATCGACTTTAGTTATGGCTGGTTTCAGGTCCAGATTAAGTTATATATGCTCTTTCATACTGACAGAGCAGCTAAAGAAGGATTGAGAGCTGGTATCCACGACAGAGTATCTAAAGTGCAGTGCTAGAGAGTCCAGTTTAGAACTTTATAAAACTCATATAGGCAGAAAATAGCCAATAGGAGCAATTTAGAGACCCTGTGCTCTAAATAAATCGGGCAGTGAAGCCCGACTTTTTTGTGGAGAGATAAAAAGACATCATAATACGCACATTATTACGTAATAATGTGCGTATTCACAGAGATATCACAGTAATGTGATATATCAGTAACATCCACAGAAACCGTGATGAGGATTCGAGTGTATGCTGAACCTTCTGGTGGGTTCTGAACCTATGATTCAAACCTTCAGCAGAACCCACTGGTAGGTTCAGCAGAACCCCCGAGTTGCAATTCTTTTACCATGTCATGGCGTAGTCGTCTAGAGCTTGCGTCTGACAACACTCAGCGCATGGGTTCTATTCCTCATCATGACTCCTGTGGATTTTCTCAATGTGTATATTGTTGGAGACTTTATCTACAGGTGTTAGATACTACAGTTTTTGGCGCCTCTTTCGATGTAACATCGAAGACATTTTTCTCAGGTAGAGAGAGAAGACTAAGCTCATGCCAGGATGTTGCAGGAGAGAATGACTGGCTACGCACTGGATTGACCAATCAACAGGTGACCCGAGGTCACGTGAACAGATACGCGAGCTGCGAGGCATGTCATTGGTCTGGGATGAGCCTAGACATCGTGTAGGGCGGATGTACGAGGCTTAGCTCCGAACTGAGCAGAAATTCATCGATGCGCACACAATCAAGCCATTAACGAATGGTAAGTACACAGTGACGATGCTTGAAGCAGCCTAGTGAGCCTCTGGAGGTGAAATACGTCCATCTTCCAAAAGTTGCAACTTGGGAGCGAGTGACGGTCTAGAACCGTTTGTGTGCCGGAAATCCGGTTGTAGAGCGAGATAAGATGCAGAGTGTTGAAGACTGGCTACTTCCCTGCCTTCTCTGGGAGTGTTTACCATGTTGAGAACAGTCTCGAGCAGTGAAGGCTTGGTGTAGTCTAAGGTACGAGAAGTGCACTGAAGAAGTTGCACTGTAAGTAGCCAGTGACACTTATTCAGTCATGAATAGTTGAAGTGAGAGGGCGAAGTTTAGACAGTGAATACTTACTAATTTAAGAGACATTACTAGCAGTGAGGGGCCATGAATTTTTGTTCTCCTCAGTACCATTTGCAGTGTAAGTTAGGCAGTGAAGTGACTCAGTGACATTTGTGGAAGTTAAGCGAGGAGCCACGTAATTCTGCTGCAGCAAGAGTTTGTACTGAGGACCTGGGGACCCGGGGACCTGGGGACCTGGGGACCGGAGGACCTGGGGACCTGGGGACCTGGGGACCCGGGGACCTGAGGATCTGGGGACCTGAAGACCTAGGGACCCGGGGACCTGGGGACCCGGGGACCTTATGACATGAGTACCTGAGGACCTGATGACTTGAGGACCTGGGGACCTGAGGACCTGGGGACCTGAAGACCTGGGGACCTGGGGACCTGAGGACCTGGGGACCTGGGGACCTGAGGACCTGGGGACCTGGGGACCCGGGGACCTGGGGACCTGGGGACCTGAGGACCTGGGGACCCGGGGACCTTATGACCTGAGGACCTGGGAACATGAGGACCTGATGACCTGGGGACCCGGGGACCTGAGGACCTGAGGACCTGAGGACCTGGGGACCTGAGGATCTGGGGACCTGAAGACCTAGGGACCTGAGGACCTGGGGACCTGAAGACCTAGGGACCCGGGGACCTGGGGACCCGGGGACCTTATGACATGAGTACCTGAGGACCTGGGAACACGAGGACCTGATGACCTGAGGACCTGGGGACCTGAGGACCTGGGGACCCGGGGACCTTATGACCTGAGTACCTGAAGACCTGGGGACCCGGGGACCTTATGACCTGAGGACCTGGGAACATGAGGACCTGAGGACCTGAGGAACTGGGGACCTGAGGACATGAGGACCTGGTGACATGAGGACCTGGGGAACTGCATGAGGACCTGAGGACCTGGGGACTTGATGACCTAGGGACCTGAAGACCTGGGGACCTGAGGACCTGGGGACCTGAGGACCTAAGGACCTGGGGATCTAAGGACATGAGGACCTGGGGACATGAGTACCTGAGAAACTGGGGACCTTATGACCTGGGGACCAGATGACCTGGGGATCTGAGGACTTGAGGACCTGAGGACCTGGGACCTAAGTATCTGAGGACCTGATGACCTGGGACCCGAGAACCTTGCACCTGATGACCTGGGGACCATGATGACCTGGGGACCTGGGGAACTGAGGACCTGAGAACATGAGGACCTGAGGTCCTGAGGACCTGAGGTCCTGAGGACCTGAGGACCTGGGGACCTGAAGACCTAAGGACCTGGGGACCTGAAGACCTGATGACCTGAAGACCTGGGACCTGATAACCTGGGACCTGAGGACCTGATGACGTGGGACCTGAGGACTTGGGGACCTGAGGACTTGGGGACCTGAAGACCTGAGGAACTGAGAACCTGAGGATCTGAGGACCTGGGGACATGAGGACCTAGGGACCTGATGATCTGGGTTCTGGGGACCAGATGATCTGGAGACCTGAGGACCTCGGGACCTGAGAACCTGGACCTGAGGACTTGAGGACCTAAAGACCTGGGGACCTGAGGACCTGAGGACCTGGAGACTTGAGAACCTGGCCCTGAGGACTTGAGGACCTGGGGACCTGATGATCTTGGTTCTGGGGACCTGATGAACTGGAGACCTGGGAACCTGAGGACCTGGGAACCTGAGAACCTGGGGACTCGAGGACCTGAGGACCTGGGGTCCGGAGGACCTGCGGACCTGAGGACCTGGGGACCTGACGACCTGGGGACCTGATGACCTGGGGACCTGATGACCTGAGTACCTGGGGACCTGGGGACTCGAGGACCTGAGGACCTGAGGACCTGAGGATCTGGGGACTTGGGGACCTGAGGATCTGGGGACCTGAGGACCTGATGAACTGGGGACATGAGGACCTGCATGGAGACCTGGGGACCTGGGGACTTGAGGACCTGAGGACCTGGGGACCTGGGGACTTGAGAACCTGGACCTGAGGACCTGAGAACCTGGGGACCTGGGGACCGGAGGACCTGGGGACCGGAGGACCTGGGGACCTGGGGACCTTGATGGCACAGAATTACCTACAGTCTTCTAAGGGTAAGAAGGATCTACATCTGGGGTTTGACTAGGGTGGCGACCCAGTGTCATTGCAACCACAGAATTAACTGTGGTTGCTGCCTCCCCCCCCCACCCACCCCGACTAAGTGCCGTGCTGCCGTTATAAAGGATTTGTTGCAGAGATTCATAGGACCAGTGCATGGGTAGAGGGAGCGAAGACAGAAGGTTGCATTGCAACAAACGATGGAAGGAGTCATGTGGTGCATTTGTGTGGGTGAGGGGCTGGCCGAACATAGATTTTTGCACCCGTCGTTTGGCAGCGTGACCACTGTGGCGGTGGAGTGTCAATACTGGACAATAGGCCGTGATTCCAGAGAGTTTCTTCATGTCCTCCATGACACTGCCGGCGGATAGCCAAGGATGAGCGGTTGAGTAAGTCCATGAAAGTCTTGAGGCATCCTGGCCTCCCCCCATTTGTATTTGGTGACGACACAGACGGCAACGATGTTTTGTTTTGGGAATAATACAGTGGCCAGTGGCTGAGTTCCAGGGCCCCGAGTGAAGTGTTGCTGGCCACCTACCACTGGGGAAGGCCACCCAAGAAAATGCAATATTCATTCTCTCATTCTTACACTTGCCCGCCTCTTATCCCCACCATTGTCTTCTCCCACATTATATCTGACTTCTTCAACATCTCCCTCATAGTATCTATTCCTCCTTTTCTTGAACCTCCCCCACAATCCCCTCCACTTCTCCACCCTCATTATCCACAAGCTCCCCCCCCCTGACACTTCTTCCCTCAGTGCTTCTCCCCATTATCTCTCCCCAGGAGCGCCTGGCCAGGTGCCGGCGCCAGAGTGCTCTCCAGCGACCCACAGTTGCAGCTCAATACTCGCCTCCAACATGGAATCATTTTTATTCATCTCATTCACTATAACCTCATGAATGTTTCTGCTGCTAGAGATTCTTGCAAGTAGTGAACCACAGACAGCCAGGTCTGGTGTGGTCTGTACAAGACTGCCACCACAGACAGCCAGGTCTGGTGTGGTCTGTACAAGACTGTGACACCACAGACAGCCAGGGCTGGTGTATGTCTGTACAAGACTGTGACACCACAGACAGCCAGGGCTGGTGTGGTCTGTACAAGGCTGTGACACCACAGACAGCCAGGGCTGGTGTGGTCTGTACAAGACTGTGACACCACAGACAGCCAGGGCTGGTGTGGTCTGTACAAGACTGTGACACCACAGACAGCCAGGGCTGGTGTAGTCTGTACAAGACTGTGACACCACAGACAGCCAGGGCTGGTGTAGTCTGTACAAGACTGTGACACCACAGACAGCCAGGGCTGGTGTAGTCTGTACAAGACTGTGACACCACAGACAGCCAGGGCTGGTGTGGTCTGTACAAGACTGTGACACCACAGACAGCCAGGGCTGGTGTAGTCTGTACAAGACTGTGACACCACAGACAGCCAGGGCTGGTGTAGTCTGTACAAGACTGTGACACCACAGACAGCCAGGTCTGGTGTGGTCTGTACAAGACTGTGACACCACAGACAGCCAGGTCTGTTGTGGTCTGTACAAGACTGTGCCACCACAGACAGCCAGGGCTGGTGTAGTCTGTACAAGACTGTGACACCACAGACAGCCAGGGCTGGTGTGGTCTGTACAAGACTGTGACACCACAGACAGCCAGGGCTGGTGTAGTCTGTACAAGACTGTGACACCACAGACAGCCAGGGCTGGTGTAGTCTGTACAAGACTGTGACACCACAGACAGCCAGGGCTGGTGTGGTCTGTACAAGACTGTGACACTGGTGTGGTCTGTACAAGACTGTGCCACCACAGACAGCCAGGGCTGGTGTGGTCTGTACAAGACTGTGCCACCACAGACAGCCAGGGCTGGTGTGGTCTGTACAAGACATTAGACACAGAGGGAAGCAGACACGGAACACAAGGATAACCTATTTAAATGGAGAGGAAATGGGACAAAAGGCTCAAATGTAAGGTGGAAACGCAATTGAGTCGAAGATTTGAAAGAATATACTCGCGACCTGATTTTGTCAAGAAGTTGAACGCACTGAAGGAAGTTATAGAAACCACCTCCATCTACAACTTTAAGGCATCTCACACCAAGAATTCGAACCACAGAACAGTTAAACTATATCGCAAAATGATAACTTGCCAAAATTCATAGATAACTCCCAAGGTTGTGTAACGTGAGACATATTAGCAGTTCCCTCAACTTGTTTGAGAGCGAGACGATCATTTGGGCCCATTTCCAATGAGATCTGACTTACTGAAAAATCACGAGTTATGATTGGTCAAAATTAGGTTTCAGAAACACAACCAAGAGCAGATAGAAGAGCAGGTGAGAAGAGAGGTGAGAGCCGGGCCAGCGGTCCTTATGGACGTAGTGATCACGGCCAGGAGAAAGTGACCTTACTAAAGCCTGCTCCCAAGTTAATATTAGGTCACCACACTTCATAGTCAGGTCACTAACCTGTGAAGCAAGACTAAACATTCTCCTGAAGCTACAAGACGCCAGAGAGAGAACACACTAGTCTGCCACCTTCAGTCAGGTCTGGCATGGTTGTTGTCTAGTTGTAGAGTTGGCGGCCACCACGTGTTTGTGGCACCACGTGTTTAGGGCACCACGTGTTTGGGGCACCACGTGTTTGGGGCACCACGTGTTTGGGGCACCACGTGTTTGGGGCACCACGTGTCTGTGGGACCACGTGTCTGGGGCACCACGTGTCTGTGGGACCACGTGTCTGGGGCACCACGTGTCTGTGGGACCACGTGTTTGGGGCACCACGTGTTTGGGGCACCACGTGTTTGGGGCACCACGTGTTTGGGGGACCACGTGTTTGGGGCACCACGTGTCTGGGGCACCACGTGCCTGAGGCACCACGTGTCTGTGGGACCACGTGTTTGGGGCACCACGTGTTTGGGGCATCACGTGTTTGGGGCACCACGTGTTTGGGGCACCACGTGTTTGTGGGACCACGTTTCTGGGGCACCACTTGTTTGTGGGACCACGTGTGTGGGTCACCACGTGTTTGGGGCACCACGTGTTTGTGGGACCACGTGTTTGTGGCACCACGTGTTTGTGGGACCACGTTTCTGGGGCACCACTTGTTTGTGGGACCACGTGTTTGGGTCACCACGTGTTTAGGGCACCACGTGTTTGGAGCACCACGTGTTTGGGGCACCACGTGTTTGTGGGACCACACGTTTGGGGCACCACTTGTTTGTGGGACCACGTGTCTGTGGGACCACGTGTCTGTGGGACCACGTGTTTGGGGGACCACGTGTTTGGGGCACCACGTGTTTGTGGGACCACATGTTTGGGGCACCACGTGTTTGTGGGACCACGTGTCAGTGGGACCACGTGTTTGGGGCACCTCGTGTTTGGGGCACCATGTGTTTGGGGCACCACGTGTTTGGGGCACCACGTGTTTGGGGCACCACGTGTTTGTGGGACCACGTGTCTGTGGGACCACGTGTTTGGGGCACCACGTGTTTGGTGGACCACGTATCTGGGGCACCACGTGTCAGGGGCACCACGTGTCTGTGGGACCACGTGTTTGGGGGACCACGTGTTTGGGGCACCACGTGTTTGGGGCACCACGTGTTTGGGGCACCACGTGTTTGTGGGACCACGTGTTTGGGGCACCACTTGTTTGTGGGACCACGTGTTTGGGTCACCACGTGTTTGGGGCACCACGTGTTTGTGGGACCACGTGTTTGTGGCACCACGTGTTTGGGGCACCACGTGTTTGGGGCACCACGTGTTTGGAGCACCACGTGTTTGGGGCACCACGTGTTTGTGGGACCACACGTTTGGGGCACCACTTGTTTGTGGGACCACGTGTCTGTGGGACCACGTGTCTGGGGGACCACGTGTCTGGGGCACCACGTGTTTGGGGCACCACGTGTTTGGGGCACCACGTGTTTGGGGCACCACGTGTCTGTGGGACCACGTGTCTGGGGCACCACGTGTTTGGGGCACCACGTGTTTGTGGCACCACGTGTTTGGTGGACCACGTGTTTGGGGCACCACGTGTTTGGGGCACCACATGTGGGGACCACGTGTCTGTGGCACCACGTGTTTGGGGCACCACGTGTTTGTGGGACCACGTGTTTGGTGGACCACGTGTTTGGGGCACCACGTGTCTGTGGGACCACGTGTCTGGGGCACCACGTGTTTGGGGAACCACGTGTTTGGGGGACCACGTGTTTGGGGCACCATGTGTTTGGTGGACCACGTGCTTGTGGGACCACGTGTTTGGGGCACCACGTGTCTGTGGGACCACGTGTTTGGGGCACCACGTGTTTGGGGCTCCACGTGTTTGGGGAGACCACGTGTTTGGGGCACCACGTGTCTGGGGCACCACGTGTTTGGGGCACCACGTGTTTGGGGGACCACGTGTTTGGGGCACCACGTGTTTGGGGCACCACGTGTTTGGGGCACCACGTGTTTGTGGGACCACGTGTCTGGGGCACCACGTGTTTGTGGGACCACGTGTTTGGGGCACCACGTGTTTGGGGCACCACGTGTTTGTGGGACCACGTGTTTGTGGCACCACGTGTTTGGGGCACCACGTGTTTGGGGCACCACGTGTTTGGGGCACCACGTGTTTGGAGCACCACGTGTTTGTCTGGGGACCACGTGTTTGGGGCACCACGTGTTTGGGGCACCACGTGTTTGGTGGACCACGTGTCTGTGGGCCCACGTGTTTGGGGCACCACGTGTTTGGGGCACCACGTGTTTGGGGCACCACGTGTCTGTGGGACCACGTGTTTGGGGCACCACGTGTTTGGGGCACCACGTGTTTGGGGCACCACGTGTTTGGGGC